TTCGTGCTTGCTCGTGGACTTGGCTTCCGTTCTCACGTCAGCTATCAGATTCTCAAGCTTGCTGGCTCGCCAACCCCCTGCAACTCACAGGAGATACTATCCCATGTCTTCAACGCCTGTTCCAACATGAAGTTTCTACTCTCTTGTTTTGTTTCGCTGCAAGCATCGATTATGAGTGGATGGTTCTTCTCCGGTTAGTATTATGAATTACCTTTTCAATGTTTCCCAGTTTCCCCTGGTTTTCTGCTTTGACTTGCGGATATGTATAATAATCTCTGTTTTTCCTTGCTATTACCAATCTAACTACTTGCAATTTATGCTCTATCTATTTCAAAGCAAATCGCGGGTTTAATTTGGTCTATCAACCCTTATCCCTTGAAGTAGTACTCAAGAAAGATTCGAAGCTTAGTGAATGCTGTCAAGGCATACTCCAAAAAGAGTAAATTTTAGTTATAAAGTTGTTAATTTCTATTTTCCATTTTGTAAAACGTGAAATATGGCTTAACATGGAATGATATATGCTAATGCAAATCAAGTAGAATACAAGACTATTCCTAATTCATCAATATTGTCATTTTTTTTCCTTTAAAAAAAAATAAAGTCTTAATTTCACATCATATTCATAAGCAAGAAATTCATTAATATGTACAAACCAATTAATGCTATAACTGTTTTAGATATTTGCATGGGCGGACCTGACCTTGTCGGAGTGGTGTCATGACACACCACTCAATTCCTAAAAATCTATATAAGTATATTACTTATTTAGAGTTTTAATTGAAGATTTATATAATCAATGACAGTAATGAAGTCACTAATTTTTTTTTAATAATTTTGTAGGGAAGAGATCAAAGTATTTAAGCAAATTTATCAAAAAGTACTTTATATATTAATAATTAAATGCTAAAAGATAAGAAAAAAATTTATAATTTAAGATTTTATTAAAAAAAATCAAAAACTTAAACTACTCTTCTTCTCCTTCCAAAAAAATTCAAGTTCTACTCTTGAGACCTGTAGTAAAGCTTCTTCTTCTCAATTTTTGGCTATGTTTTTTACTTTTTCAAAATAACTCATTTAATAGTTTTCAACTTAAATTAAATTTTTAAATATTTTTTGATTAATTTGATAGTTTGGGACTCAAACAGAATCTAGTTAATAAAAAATAGTTTTATATGTCAAATAATATCTTAAAATTATAAATTTTTTATTTTTTATTTATATTGTAGATATATTATTTGATTATTTGATTTTTATATTAAACCTTATATGATTTGTGGATGCTTATATTTAATTTTGATCAATAAATAAAAACTTTTCAAATTGTTAGTTACTGACACTAATAAAAATTTTTGAGTCGGCCCTTGGATATTTGAGGGCATCATCTACTAACCAGAGCACTGATTTCTATAGGATGTCTAATACGATCTAGTTCATGAAGGTTTCAATGAGAGAAGGTTTAATCTATGCATGCACTTTGCCAGATCAGAGACATATCTGAACCGAAAAACGAAACACTGCTGCTGCTCTAACGGTGGCAAAGGAATTTGTTAAATTCTTTGCTCTGATTCTGAGTAGCACTTTATCTCCAACGAAAGTGCAACTATATATGTGATTTAGTTTGTACCCAAAGGACGAAAGCAGAAAGTGAAATTAGGAGGTCAACTTTCCTAAAATATAGAAGAGCTAACTTATTTCTAAGATAATTATCATCAATGAAAAATAAGATAATATCTAATTAAACAATAAATAAAGATAAAGCTTGCCTAAGCAAACTTTTTTAAATAGACATAACAAGATAACAATTAAGTCTAGATATAAATAACATAATAATTTAAATTAAAATAATTCATTTGCTTTCGTCATGTGAGTTGTATGTAATAATAATGATCAATTCCTATAGCCTAAGTCCAATGTTATCCTACCAAAGGATTCAAAATTTAATTGTGGCAAAATCATTGATGTAGCTAGCATTTTCAATAT